ATTTCAGTCCCACAATACCTCAACACTACATACCCAATCTAGCAATCTGTCTGGCCTGCCAGGCTCCCCATGGATCTGGACATGGCAGGAGGAGAACGGCAATTAATGCTGCCACCGCTTCCCTGCTGTCAAATTTGCAGACCCTTGGGAGGCCCAGCAGGCTGGCTGACATGGCCCCATAGGCCAGATTTGGTTTACAGGCCCAGGATTGAGCATTACTGTTTATCTGACTTTTTTTTATAGTACTTTAGCTATAGGAGTCTGCATATGTAACTTTTCTATTACTATAAGGAAAAAAACAATGTTTTTGCCTTACTTGCAGTTTCATCGAAAGTATTGAAAAATCGGAGGCCTGAAATATTATTGAGCTTGTCTGAGATGAGACGTTTATGGCGTGTAAAATTGCTTAAGGCATTGTTATAACTAAGCAAAGCAAATATGCAGTTTAACTGTGGCCAAATACATCTACGTATGTCATCTTTTAGTTCTTCATTCTTGAAATATTGCTCATACTCTCAATCAAACAAGCAAAATATTCTCATTTGAATGTTTCATCTTGTGCTCTAATTTATTTCCTTATTTCCTGTTGATAATTCTAACCATTCCAGGTACTAAAGTAATTTGTTGATGACTATTTCTAACTTTTTCACTGGTATCAGTAGGCAACTGTTGATCCTCTGGACCATGGTGTATGCATAAGAGGTCTAGTCAGGTGCCTGATGAATCCGCTTATGGCTGGCAAGCCCAATTCCAGAACAACACAGATTGTTACAAGTTTCACAGATCCATGTATTGCCTGAGCTGGAGTCCAAGTTTACAGCACACTGCTTTCTTTCTCGCTTTGCTTTCATCCTCTGGATCAAAGCAGCTTCCTGTTGTGCTGCAACCAGTACCAGATGTTCTTTCCAGATCAGACAGGATTCTGCGTTTTCCTTCCATCTTTCTACATTGATGTGGAATGACTTCATACCATTTTTGCACACATCATTGTACTGCCATAGAGGGTGATCTTGCTTTCTAGAGGTGTACAAAATATTCTTCGGGATGTGGTCGCCCCCCGTTCTCCAGACATGGCCTATCCATGACAACCTCTTCTTGATAGTGGTTTCTAAGTGTGTCAGTCCTGAACACTCCAGCGTCTCTCTGTTTGTTTGTCTTCCCACTTTATTTTCAAGGTCTTACACAGACATCTTAGGTGGAAGCTGCTCAAAATCTTGATGTGCCTAGCATATATAGTCCATGTTTGTGAACCATAAAGCAGGGATGGCAGTGTGGCAGGAGGCTTGGTGTTCCTGCTACTTTAAGAAGCAGGCAGGTTAGGACTGAGGTAGCCTGCAGGTACAGCTAGGATCGATTATGGAGTCAGCTGACCTTGGAGGAAGTCTAGGCTTAGGTGGGATATAAGGCCAGACCTGAATGGAGCCAGCAATAACATCTTGGAGTCTGCTGAGAGAAAACTACCTGAGCAGGATGACTGAAGCTCTAGAATATCAGCTTGGAGAGCACAGCAAGAAGGAATCTGGAGGTTTGGGGAGGAACTAAAGGAGAGGAGGAGGTCCCTAGGTACCCAGGGAGGGGTCTGGAGCCCAAATTGAGAGGTTGAGACTATGGGACCAGCGAGGGTCTAGGAGCCTATGGAGAGGCTGAGAGTGTGGGACCAAAGGGGGCCGAGGAACCGCAGAGAAGGAAGAAAACATCAATGAGGCATGGGGGATGATGTAGGGATGGAACAGAGCCATTCAATTAGCCCATATGGCAAGGGCTACATGCACTTGGTAATTTGGGAAGCCCTGAGGCAGCCTCCCTCCTATACAAATAACATCAAGGCATGGTGGGAGACTAAAGGGGTCGTTGCCCCCAGGAATTGAGGGCTGCAGAGAATCCAGGGGCTTCATAACCACTCCTGAAGAGGCACACTGCCACAGACAACTCAAGGCTCATAGATTTTCATTTTTACCTTAGTACTTAGTTGATAGTTTGCTGTTATTCCATGCATGTTTTTATAATAGCTGGAAATTCATAGCTGCTTTTCTGAATCTATTAGTCCGTTCAGTCTTAACTCAAGTAACAAAAGCATTCAATGGTGCCAAGAGATTTACCCCTCAGAGTGATGTCAGATACTGCCACCCCCCTTGGTACATGATCACAGTGTCCTTGAGACTAATTGTCAACTCAAAGCTCTTGCATGACTCAGAAAATCATCCCAAGAAATTTTGCAGGGAAGATTCACTGTGGGCAATCAAGGCTGCATCATCCATAAACAGGGAATCTCTTAGAACCAGCTCTTCGACTTTTGTTTTTGCTCTAACCTTGCAATGTTAAACGAACATCCATCTAGTGTGTTTCAAAGATAAATGCCATCATGTTGTCTTTGAATGCATGAAGCAGTAGGAATGAAAAATAGATGTTAAAGGGAACTGGGGCTAAGACACACCCTTTGTTTCACCCCATTATTGATGTCAAAGGCATTTTGATTCTTTGTTTTCATACACTACAGTTGCCTTTATACCTTAATGTAATGAACAAATGATGTTCAACAGTCTGGGGGAACACCCCAGATTTACCCAAAGAAGCTTGTCTATCTGTTGAAGGCCTTCATCAGATTGATGATGGCTATCTACAGTGGTATTCATTTTTCTCTACATTTCTCTTGCAGTTGCTTGACCATATCAGTGGTGAAGCATCCTGAACAAAAGCTGCATTAACTTTCAGGATAAATTCTTTCACCTAGAGAAGGGGGTCCCAACATTTGTGTGCCCAAGGGCACATTTGAAATTAAAAGATAAAGAAGCGGGAGTGAATATGAATATTAAAGTTTAGAATTTAGAATCCTGGATATGCTCATGCACATAGTTTTGTTTGGGGAGGGAGTAGTAAGCACCACTCCATCACTGCATCAATCAGATTGACTCAGTCCCATTTTGGTGGCCATTGCGTATGGACTGTGAAACTTTTTTTGAAGTGTTGCTGTTCTGAGGTCAACCAGCAGTGACAGCATTTTTTATTGGGATAATGATTTTTACTGATCCTGAAAATGAAGGGCACCTGAATAAACCTCGCGGGGCACCATGGCACCTGCAGGCACTGCGTTGGGAACCACTGACCTAGAGATTCCAGCCTATGGAACACAAAGCAATTGGCAACTTTTCTGATGTTCAACAGGGAAATACTTCTATAGTCATCACAGTCACTTCTAATTCCCTTGTTTTGTATAATTATACAAAGCAAGCACCTTTGAAATCTTGTGGTACTGCTTCCTCTTTCCAACAGAGCAGTATAACTTCATGGAGTACTCTTGAAGTACTCTGTTTTTGGCACATGTGTAGATTTCAGCAAGCAACAAGTCATTGCTGGATGCCTTGTTCTCCAGGATCAATTTAATGGCTTTCTGCAAATCTTCTAAGGTAGGCTCGTTGTCCAAAACCATCATAACCTTGAACTGTGATAATCCTTCGAGTTTTTTGTTTGATTTCAGTCTCATTGGAATAGAACTCCACAGTATTCGGTCCAGTGCTGACGTTGTTTTTGTTTATCAGTGATGCCATTTCCACTTAAGTCTTTCAGTGGAGCTGTTTTCTTCATAACTGGACCAATTGTCCAGTTTGAAACCTTCATAAATTCTGTGGCTATTGCTTGCGTCAGCTGCTTTCCAAATATCATTGCAGAGTTTCAGCCAAAAATTTTCAGCATGCTTCCCAACCTCCTTTTGCATTTCTCTTTGAGCCTTTCTCAAATTTTCCAGGGTGATGGTGTTGTGTGATTTATTGCAGATGGTTAGTGCTGTCTTTTTGTTGTCAACTAGTGGTAGAAGGGCTGGAGAGTTCTCTTCAAATCAGTGTGTATTTTTCTTGCATTTTTTGCCAAATGCTGTTACAGCAGTATTGTATATGTTAATTGTTAAGTTTTCCCCAGAAAAGTAATTTGTTGATAACTATTTCTGGCTTTATCACTGGTAGTAGACAAAACAATTCAATAGAGGAGTGAGCAACTTATATGTCACATAATACATTGATTTTTTCTGGTCATTTGCATATCAGGTTTATCAGTAATGAATTAAAAAGGACTTCCTGGTAACCCAAATGGATAAACATTCCACAATTCGGATAACTATCCGTCACTCTTAGTTCAAAGGGAGATGGGGCTGATCTCAGAGTTTGGTTATTCTGTTAGCCAGGAACAAAACAGCTCTGGCTGAGAATACTGAATAATCAACTTATTTCTTTGTCAGGTTAATTCTTGTATCAAAGAAAACAGTAACATTAGCTAACCTTCACTTTCAGAGTTCCAACTGAAACAATGCTGCTGGCACAGTGTTTGTAAATCAGAGGTGTTAGCATGTGTGAAGTGGTATACACCTACTGTAAAGTGAGCTGATTTTTGTAGGCCATAAACAGATGTTCAAGATTTTTCACTGATATGAGAAAGACACTGCTTTTACACATATATTTAACAGCAGTGGGATTGAAATTACTCCCAGTCAGTCATTTTGTAAATTAAGTAGGAGCTGGAGGAGTAAAGAATCTCTTCAATATAACTTAGTTCATTAAAAAATAGTTTGTTTAATTCAGTACAAATATAATGAATCAAATATAAAATAAGGTTATTGATAAATATATATATCCTTGTATAAATCAAATAGGATTTGACACCAAATATTTTTAAAAAGCTATATAAAGATATTTTGCTGAGTCTTGTTTTAAGATAAGAGCTCTCTCTCACAGGTGAAATTAGGGCCCATGGAAATTAATAGGAGTTTTGACATTGACCTACATTATGTTTGAGTTGGGTTTTTTTTTCCAGAGTTGCAGGTCACAGTTTCTAAAAACATGAGGATGTTTTCTTTTCAGTGACCAAATAAAAATGCTATCAAAATACCACTTCATTTATTTGCAAAAAAAAAAAACATATGCCAGGCTGTATGCATAGTAGAGTGTAACTGTCTCTTAAGGTAATTATTACTGACTGGTAAATTAATTTTATTATTTTCTTCCCTTGTTTAGATGGTTTTTTGGCTCAATCAAACGAGCAGATGCAGAGAAACAACTGCTATACCCCGGAAACCAGAAAGGAGCCTTCCTAATTCGAGAAAGTGAAAGTTTAAAAGGAGAATTCTCACTTTCAGGTATTCGTTTTCATCTGAAGAAATGTCTTAAGAGCTTCTCATTTAGCCTATTTTTTTCCTGTCTTCTCAAGTGATAAACTGTGTGAATGAGAGTGAAATTAAACTCTGTAATAATCTCTTCTTCCCAGGAGATATATAAAAGAAAAGTTGGCAAGAACCAGTAGGCTCTACTAACTTTTTTTATTTTATAGCTCTTTATTTATTAATATGCATAGAATAGAAATTAACTTTTTTGTACTTATTGCTTTTCATTTTTCCAGCTGCCTTGAAATTGAACTGTTTTCATAATTAAAAACCAAAAGTATATTACATTTGTAGACTAATCACTGACGGGTACACACAGTGAAAATTAAACACATGTCGGCAGATCTAAGTGGGTTATGAAAACAGAAGAACTTCTGTTAGAATATGTCCTTGGAATTTATATTGATCTTTTTGTGACAGAGGACTGCATAGGTACAAACAGAAACATGTGATCAGATTTCAGCAAAAAAGTTAGTTTCATCTCTGTTGGCGGGTTTGTTTCTTTGTTCACTCAAAGTCCATTATTCTGGCTTCAAAACATATAACTGGCTTCATGATAAAACTCTTACATAAAAGACTGGACTACCAGAAAGGGAATAAAATGTTTTACATGCACATAGGCACACACATGTGCACACACATTTTGTTCTGAAAGATACTTGTCCTAATGGGTATCATTATTCCATGTTGGATTTTCCCGCAGTTTTCCTGCCACAAATCAGACATTGCTCACAAACAGTCTAGTGATTCTTTGGGGGGTTTTTTTGTTTTGGGATTGTTCCAAATACTTCATTTCATAGTAAAGCATTTTGTTGTTACTGGAGTGGATTACAGCACAGGTTGAGGAAGAAGATGGTAGGCTAATTTCACTGTGACACCATGGGAACTTCATCCACGAGTGTTAGCCTGCTGACAGGATACAGGATGATCAAGGCGGGGGGGGGGTGATCACCCTCCCATAGTTGGAGAAGATCTTGTGGGGGAAAACCTAGAGAAGCTGAATATCTACAAGTCAGCAGGACTGGATGAACTACACCAGAGACTGCTAAAAGAATGGGCTGACATCATCGTGCAACATATGGCAAAGTGATTTGAAGACTTGTGGCACTTGGGAGAGGTCCCAAAAGACTGGAAGAAGGCCAATGTAGTGACTATCTTCAAGAAAGGGAGAAAGGAAGACTCAGGGAATTACAGGCCAATCAGTTTGACCTCAGTCCCTGATAAAATCCTGGAAAAAAATTATGAAAAATCCATCATTGATAGGTTAACAGAAGGCAGTATTCTAAAGGACAGCCAACATGGCTTCATTGCAGGCAGGTCATGCCTGACCAACCTCATTTCCTTCTATGATCAGATAACTTGCCACCTGTATAGGGGAAGTGAGGTTGATGTTAGATACTTGGACTTCAAAAAGGCTTTTGACCTAGTCTCCCATGATGTCCTCATGGTAAAATTGGGAAAATGCAGCCTCAACTACTTTACAGTCCAGTGGCTAAGTAACTGGCTCTGAGGCAGGACCCAGAGGGTACTAATAGATAACACTGCGTCATCATGGCAGAAGGTGGCCAGTGGCATCCCTCAGGGTTCAGTACTCAGACCAGTGCTTTTCAATATTTTCATCAGTGATTTGGATTTGGATATTAAAAGCAAACTGGCAAAGTTCACGGACAACACCAAATTATGGGGAAGTGTGGTCACACTTGAGATCAAGCTTGGGATACAGGCTGGCCTGGATTGGCTTGTGAGGTGGACGGATCTTAGTCTGATGATTTTTAATGTGGATAAATGTAAAGTGCTCCATCTGAGGAGAAATAATCCGCAGCATGCTTACAGGCTTGGCAGTACTACACTTGCCTGCACCAAAACTGAATGTGACCTGGGGGTCACAGTAGACTACAGAATGAACATGAGTCACCAACACAATGCCATAGTTGGCAGAGTGAATCAAACACTGACATGCATCTACTAATGCATCTTGAGCAGGACTAAGGATGTCATTCTCCTGCTCTACTTGGCTTTGGTGAGACTGCAGCTGGAGTACTGCATCCAGGTCTGAGCACTGCAGTTCAGGAAGGATGTGGAGAAGCTCAAGACAGTCAAAAAGAGGGTCATGCACATGATTAGAGATCTGGAGAGCAGGTCATGAGAGGAGAGGCTGAAAGACTTGGGACTGTTCAGCCTGGAGAAGAGAAGACTCAGAGGGGACTTGGTGGCAGCCTGTAAGTATATTAGGAGCATACATCAGGGCCTGGGGGAGCATCTGTTCACCAAGACACCCCAGGGGAAGACAAGAAACAATGGGCACAAACTAATTGAAGATCACTTCAGATTGGACATAAGGAAAAACTTCTCTATAAGTTGAGTGCTGAGGGTTTGGAACAGCCTCCCCAGTCACCCATCCTGGCAATCTTCAAAAAGCATCTTGATGCCTACTTTGCTGGGGTCATCTGACCCCAGCAGTCTTTTCTGCCCAAGTGCAGAGACGCAGGGTGGGGGAGTGGGCAAAGGCCTGGAGCCGGGGGGGCCTGGGACCAGATGCGGAGCCTGGGAGGTGGTGGTGGTGTTCTGTTCCCCCATCTCCCTCCCCTTTTATTCTTAATGGGTAATTCACTAGTATTTAATAAAAGCCTGGTTTAGTTGGTTATTTACTTTGCAACAGTATTATAAGCCTGTGATCAAAGAGGCAGCAAAACACAGGACACAAGACGTGTTTACACAAGACACCACATGCACATCAGACTAATTCTACTGCACATTAGCACATCAGGCAAAACCTATGGTAATGCTCAGTAGAATTAGTCTACTGTGCATTAGCATTACCTAAAATGCATGCACCAGCACTACTTTGCAGTAGCACTGGTTACTGTGCATTTAGCTTAGTACCTATAATAACAGGTAGTAACTAAATGCACAGTAACCACTGCACATTAATGTACATGTAGACATGCCCACATTGTCTTAACCAATGTGATTCTGGTACCTATATGCCAGGTCCCAGAGTGGCTGACAAAACCATGTGCCGTGCCTTGTATTGCTCTAGAAGAGAGGTTATAATGCTTAACACCAGAAATGGAAATTATATTTTCTCTTTGCTGTGCTTTCATCTCCTCTGTTTGCGTTTTTTCAGATCAGACTCCAGCAACAAGTTTGAACCCAATTCATAGAATCATAGACATTAAGGGCTGGAAAGGACCTTGAAAGATTATCAAGTCCAACCCTCCTGCTCTGGGCAGGAATACTGTTGAGATCAAATGATTCCAGCAAGGTATCTATCCAATCTCCTCTTGAACACTTCCAAAGTTGGGAACTGCTCCTCCTCCTTTGGAAATCTGTTCCAGATTCTGGTCACCCTTACTGTAAAGAAGTTTTTCATTACATCCAACCTATAACCATCCTTTAACAGTTTATGGCCATTGCTCCTTGTCCACCCCTGGGGCACCCTAGTGAACAGTTTTTTTCCTCAGCTTTCTATATTTACCCCTTACATACTTATAGACGGTCACCAAGTCCCCCGTCAGTCTTCTCTTCCCCAGGCTGAACAGTCCAAGATCCCTTAATCTCTCCTTATAAGGTTTGTTCTCCAGGCCCTTAATCATTCTTGTGGCCCTTCTCTGGACCCTTTCAAGATTTTCTACATATTTTTTGAAGTGAGGCACCCAGAACTGGACACAGTACTCTGGTTGGGGTCTCACCAGTGCCAAATAGAGAGGAAGTATCACTTCCTTAGCCCTCCTTACGGTGCATCGGCTAATGCAGCCCAGTATGCTATTAACTCTGTTGACTACAGCATCATCCTGTCATCAACCATAACCCTTAGGTTCCTTTCAGCCATTGTGCTGGCCAGGACATCTCTTCCTAACCCAGGGGTGGGCAATTATTTCAGGCGGAGGGCCGCTTACTGAGCTTTGGCAAGCCACCAAGGGCCGCATGACAGGCAGCCAGGGGGAGATAAATACTAATTTTCTAAATTTTTTAGGGGTCCTGCGGTCTAGATAGAATGGCCTGGTGGGCCACACCTGGCCCACAGGCCGCATTTTGCCCACCCCTGTCCTAACCTATATTCATGTTGCTGGTTACTTCTCCCCATATGAAGCACTCTGTATTTATCCTTTTTGAACTGCATCCAGTTCCACTTTGCCCACTTTTGTAGCTTGTCCAGGTCTGCTTGGATCCACATTCTATCTCGTAGCATGACCACTAGAGGTGCGCTAATGCGCTGGTCTAATATCAGATTGGCACTGATATAAGGAAAATTGACAGTATTTTCAATTGGCTTTTTTTGGCTGATGAGGCTGATAATGTAGCCAATAAATGCCCCGTGCATGTGTGCAGCTGCAGTGCAGAATGCAGGTGGTAAGGAGCACAGCCCAGCAGTGTGGAGAGCAGCCAGGTCTGGCTGGTAAGTTTGTTGTGAGAGAAGGGGGGCAGCAATTCAAGGTCCCTGCTGTGAGAGAGGAGTGGGGCAAGGGCAGGGGCAGGCACTGCACAGCCAGGGTGGAGCAGCGGACGGAGCCATGAATGGCTTGTTTGGAGAGTATATGGGGGTGGGGGTGGATCTTGCCACTACACACACCTTGGGAGGGCATGGGGGGTGTGTACCTCCATATCTGCACATGGGGTGAGGGGAGGTTACTGCTGCAGGCTGGGGCTGCGGCAGCACCAGGCTTTTCATGGCAAGGGGGCAGAGCCAGGCTACACTCAGTGCTGTTGGCGGTGGTGCTGAGAGGGAGGGTTGGGGTGGCTGTAAATTCCCCCCCTCACATAGCTCTGCTCCCAGCACTGTTGCCACCCACCCCAAGCACAGCCCGGCCCAGCCTCCCGCTGGGAAGGGCCTGGTGCCACACTGGTCCCAGCCCACAGTGGCAGCCTGCCTTCACCCCGTGGGCAGATCTGAGAGCACATGCCCCATGCCCTCCCCAGGTACATGCAGCAGTGGGAGCCCCTGCTTCCCTGCACCCCACCAGACAAGCCGCTTG